ATTTTTGGGAGGGTTAAATGTGATTTTCAACAAACCAAAAGAGTTATTGATGTTTGATGGGATTTGATCTGGAATACTGAATGTTCTTGGCTTTTTAACCGTTAGATTTTGTGTCATAAAAACACAAAATTCAAGATCTAAGTGTCAAAAATGGCACAATATTGTATACTCTAGAGCTAGATAAAACTTTTTTTCGTGTCTGACACAAGACTTGAAAGCGAGTTTGGATTGTCTCAATACAAAATTATTTTCCATAAAGCAATACAAAAGTGTTTTTTACAAGAATAGTGTTATACCCACATCTAATTTTACCTTTCACGCACTCTTGTTAACTTTTGGCTATTAATCTTCTTCAATTCATTCCACAGCTAAAAATTAAGGAAAATGTGTAAAAAGTAAAAATAGGGGTTAGCTGTATGGGTTAATAGTACTAGAAGTCCAATAGTAGGCCATAAAGCCCACAAATTTATAAGTTTTTAAGTGAGCCTTGATTTGCTTTGAATTGGCTAGGGGAATCCTCATAAAGCCCAAGAAATTTTTCATGTATTTGGGTGTGGCAGATGCTTCAAATTTGTCATTTGGTTGAAGTAGATATGCTAACTTCAAAATTACCATTACGAGGTTTTTTGTTTGACTTGGTGCTGTCAAGCTGGTTGACCAGTGTCAGGTTAAAGTTGGCACTTCTACTCCAGCCAGATGACAAATTTGAAGCTTCTGATGTACCCAACACAGAGAATTCGTTGGGCTTTATGAAGATTCTCATACACTTCACTTAATTTTTAGCTATGGAATGAATTAAAAAATATTAATAGTCAAACTTTAACAAGAGTGCGTGGAAGGTAAAATTGGATGTGTGCATAACACTATTTTTGTAAAAAACACTTTTGTGTTGCTTTTATGGAAAATAATTTTGTATTGGGACAATCCAGATCTACTTTCGAGTCTTGTGTCAGACATGAAAAAAACTTTATCTAGCTCTAAAGTATACAATATTGTGGCTTTTTTGACACTTTGATCTTAAATTTCGTGTTTTTATGATAAAAAAAATCTAACGGTTAAAAAATCAAGAGCATCCGATATTCCAGATCAAATCTCATTAAATATAAACAACGCTTTTGGTTTGTTGAAAATCTCTTTTAACCCTTCGGAAAATAAAATTAAAAATTTGCAGCTCATTGCCTAAGCAGTAGCTATACCTACCGGTATATTTTGTACGTTTTGGGAAATGCATCGGTAAATAACAGTTCTGAATATGGAAAAGAAAATGAAAATATGTACAGGTACTATTTTCTGTTTGATATTCAAGAAAATCCAATCTCGAAACCCATAAACTAAAAAGGTGATCTTGGCTACTAATTGTACGGTCCAAGATGGATTTTCTCTGAAAAAAGGGTTTTATTAGTACGCACCAATTGAGACCAGCAATGTGTGGGAGTAATGTTTGTTGTCCTTGAGTTTAGAGAAGTCCTCGATCCTCCATGTAAACGATCCATACTCATGTATCATCTGCATCATTTTCCTTATGCCGCACTCTACTAATCAACAATAATTAATAGTTAACAAAATCCGATAGCATAATGTACTTTGTGAAAATAAAGAAAAACATTTTCGAAAATTACAAAATCTGAGTAGAAATTGAGAAAGTTTTACCTTACAATGACGGTTTTTCGATTGGGTAATGAGAGAGAGCTTTTCGATGAAGACATGGGGAATTGCCAGCTCCAAAAATCCAATATTTGGCAGTGTGTGCAGTATGAAAATGGTCAGGGTACTAAACAGCTTCAGCTTTTTATTTCTCAGTAAAAAACCAATGGGTTTTAAAGTTGCAATTCCTATACTAAACTGGTTTGAAAGTTTTCTCTCTTCCTGAGAGTTCTCACTTCTGTGTGAGCTTGGTTTCAGTGATTACCACCATATTCCCCCGTTGACCCTAGCTGTGTATAGGGTTATTGATTGTTTCTTTCCTGTTTTTCCTTTTGCTTGCTTGTTCCTGCACTTTCCCATCACTTTTCGTCTTAATAGGCATGTTTTCACTCATCCTTTATCCTCTATGGCTTCAGATTTCATCATCATTTGCCTTCCATCGGGATCATTCATTTCTTTCCAATTTCATCATTCCATTTCCTAATCTTCCCACTCGGCTCCTTCATTCCTCGACACCACATCAATCCGGATCAGTAGTTGCTTATTTCTGAAGTGATTTTTCGCGATACTTTCGGTTGGTGCGTAGAGTTTCAACTTCGGTGTTTACACCACGCTTATTTCTGAAGTGATTTTTCGCGATATTTCCGGTTGGTGCGTAGAGTTTCAACTTCGGTGTTTACAGCACTACCTCTGTATGTGCCTTTGTCAGCATTGTTACTGGTGGGATATTTCTTCCCACAAGTTTCTTTTGATTTGTGGTTGCATTTTATGTGGTGAATGTTGGAGTCTCACTTCCTGGGTGTTGGTTGGCTTGATCTCAAGAGCTTGCTTTGGATGTGGGATCGCGATGTCCGGTCTACAGTGCACTGATGGCGGTGATGTGTGAGGTTTGTTAGGGTATGTTTTGTTGGGCTCAAATTTCTGTTTTGAGTTTTTGCTGGAGGTCCATATCTTTTATGCTTATCATGTTTTTTGGCCTCCTCTTTTGTAAGTTTGTTGTGTTGGTAATGAAATTACCTTTTGACCACAAAAAAAAAAAAAAAACGACCAGTGGACTTTTTAAGTGGGAGACTCTCTCTTGACGAATTTACTGTCATGTATAGTTTTTTGTCTAATAGTGTATTGTCATGTGCACATTTTTCTTTAGAAGGTAATATATTATTAAATTAGAATGACATATGATGGTGAGTTGGTTTCATGTAAGTCACTCTAATTTATTAGAGCATCTTCGATTTTGAGGTGTGAAAATTACATTTGAATTTAATTTGCAATTACAGCCTTACAAGAGGATGTTCATGGGTACTTATGTTGGTGTCAAAATCAGACGGAGTAATGGCTAAAGCACTTATTTCACCTTCAATGTCAAATGAAGGCTCGAGAGAGGATGTTTATTGGCATGCCGCTATTGGAGGTTGCCAATAGACTATTTGTGTGTCCAATTTGTGAGTTTGTGCAAGATTTGACATTTGAACAAAACGATTGAACTTTGGTTTGGTTCTTTTTATGCCTCGTGACTTGAGTCTTTGAATATTATGTGCGTTGTGCTTGCCTAAGATTTAAATATTGCATAAAAATAAAAAAAATATTTTAATCACTTTATAACTGAAAGAGAATTACAAAACCAAAAGAAAATGCACATGGTAGGCTAAAATAAAATACACGTAGAAATGTAAAAAAGGTTGTAAACTAACAATATTCAAATCACAAAGGTAGGATAATGTTTAATCGTAACGATATATGATATCGGGCTGAGTTAAGTGAGAAACTTGGTTGAAATGTCCATCAACTTAGTTGGAATGTGCATCAACTAAAATCATACTACCGGAACATTTTAGATCACTAGGATCATTTGAGGGTTGGCTTTGAAGAAAGCTTTGGATTTAGCGGAAGAGCTTTTACTTGTGTTGAATAGCATTTGAGAATTTGGTTGATTGACAAGCCACTTGAAAATTTGATAACCATAGAGATTTGATTTGACGAAGGTCCTAATAAGCATGGAGACTCTGCTTCTATTAATGCTTGAGGAAAGCAACTTCAATTTTATCACTAAGCCGGTCTAAGGGCATATCAACCATTTGGTCGCATTTTGTGCTGGGGTCGCTTGCTCTTGAAATTCCGATGTTTGTTTGTGATCGCGTTGTCTGTCTTGTCGAATGACATGTTCCTTGTGGTATTAAAAGGGCAAAGATTGCCGGAACTGGTAGTCTAAAATTAGACACCATGAGTAGTAATATATGTTTGTTTCAACTTTCAAGCAATGACATGCCTACTCAATGAAAAACCTAACCTAGATCAACATGTGACGATCTCACTGTTGACAACCATAGTGGCTTGAGTAATTTTCACAAACACTGAGGTGAACGCAAACGTTGAAAGTGATGGCGAATGGACGTCGAGTCATTTCCCCAACTGGGGCAAAGCACGTTGCACATGTATTTTCACAAAAGAGCGGTTGAGATTTAACTGAACGAGATTTAATTAAATTTCAACCATTCTTTGTCCTTTGGTGAGCAGGAGAGTAAAGCTCGGGCAAAGCTTAGTTCTTAAAATATTAACGAACGTTACAAACAGAGAGTTGGAATAGAGTGCAAGTATTTACTTCATACCAAAAATTCCATAGTCCAATTTAGAGCAGCTACTAACTTTGCCCTTCTCATCCGTAGAATCCTAGAGGAAGTTTTTATCCATCCTATCGAATTCATAACCTTGTCGTTAGGTGGTGACGGAAGCAAAATATTCAGTCATGAACCTAGCCCGCTGGATATCTTTTCCAGTACAATCCAATCTGAATGCATGCACATCTTTTTCTCGCGGTTCATATCAAAGAGAGTCAACTTCACGACAAAAGCTAACACTAACCCCTCCCATAACTAAGATCACTGTTGATATCTATCTTGTCCATCTTTGGCAAGTCTCTTGTTGTTGTCTCAAGATCTACTTGTGCAGCAATTAGGGCACTCCTCCGTCTCTTTAATTCTATCTCTATATCATCCACTTCTTCTCTCAGGCGTTTAGCTCGCTCTTCCACTTCCATAAACTGCTTCAAACCAAAGGCAAATTTAACATAAGGTTCCAGCCAAGCCAAGTCAAATTTGAAGGTCCGAACCTCTTCCCATAAAGAATGAAGATGCTCACAAGCATCCTTGTTCATATCCTTGGCCTTTGTGGTGTCTAAACATGACCCTTTCAAGTTTCAAATTTGAAGCTAATTGTGACACAATATGCATTAAACTTGGAGGTTAAAATAAGTCCTCCTAATTTAACCTTCAAGTTTAATGCATATTGTGTCACAATGTATATGTTCAACGTTAGATAGATTGTTATATACAAAAGATTTGATCAAGACATGCACAATCTTGATTATAATCTTGCAGACATAATTTTCATACAATTTTCAATCTTGCAACAACGTTCTGACACAAATTTTTAGGGTCTCATACAATACGATCAGAACCCACCAATAGATCGAAATAAAATTCATCATTCAACAAGGCAGTATTAAACTACCATTTAAAGCATTTGATGGTAAAAATATAATCATGCAGAAACCGAGTCAAACCGAGTCAAATAGATAGGCTTTGCGAAAACGGCGCAAAAACGTTGTTAGGCTTAGCAAAAACGAGCCAGTCAAAGTTTGGTCACGTTGCCCACCGCATTCCTCTGACCGAAAATGTATAACCAAGAACCAACTATTAGGCTAATGCCGTCCATAACCTAACTCATTGTCCATATTTTTCTGCTACCCGATCAAGATCTACCTCTGCATCAACTAGCTCAGTCCTTTGTCTTTTCAGTTCGGTCTCCAAAGCATCCACCTCTCCTCTCAATCACTCGCCCTGCCATTTCCCCAAATTTCTTCATACACAAAGCGGATTGAACATATGGCTCTAACGATGCCAAGTCAAATCTGAAAATCTCTAGCTCTTCCCATAAAAGCCGAAGGTTCTCGTTAGAGTCCTAACACGTCATATCCTTACCTTTTGTAGTCTTTAAAAAATGCAGGACTCTTCCCAAAGCTGTGAATGCACATTCAGTGAACTTACAACTCCTCTTTTGTTGGCACTTGATCAGTGAAGGATGCCATGAACAAACTTCCTCTAGTTGTGGGACAAAAGCTTTCTCTATCCAACCTAAACCCTTGAAATCAACGAGCTCGCTAGCTGGAAAAGCATAGGGTAGTTTTTCTTTCTCATGTTCCTTGACTAAAGTAGGGCCAGCAGGACTATCAATGCTAGTGTTAGTGCAATCTTTTAGAGAACTTGGTTTATCATGGGAGGGAAGCAGCTGGGTGATACTGAAGAGTCTCCAACTTGCACAGAATCTGTATTTGATGAATTCTTCGTACTTGTAGAAAAATCAGATGATCCTTCATCGTATTCATCATCCTCCTCACTTTCAGCTTCAAGGATTTTAACCTTTACTTCAATTATACATGTATCATTCACAAGATAGCCTGCACTGCGATCATGGAGCTTACTCAAAGGCATAAACGATCTGTATCCCAACGAACTCACTCCTGCCTTGAACTCTTTCTCATTACGAGTTTCTACAAATAAAAAAAAAAAAAAAATACCAAATTGATATCATAAAAAGGTTAATCAAGAATGAGTGAGTTTATCAACATGTAATAAAGAAAAGAAGATAAGGAAAGCCATCCTTTCTTGTTTTCCTTGTTTTTAAAACAAAGGGAGCCATATTAATATAAGAATTTCAGACAGTTGCAGAGGAAAATAATTACCAAGAAAACCATGGTTCAATAACCAAACTGATTGTTAGGAAGAAAAGAATATTGTTGCAGCATCTCAGCTTTTCTGTAGACCATTGAAATTTGTTAAGATTAAGAATTCAGGAACTGATATCGTCGAGAAAATGCACACAATATGACTTCAACATCTCATCGACATGGCTATAATGTTGAATCATTTATAGTTACCATTCCACTTTTACATAAGAAAGTATAACCATTAAAATAGTTCAAAGGGAAACAAAACCACCAGTTAACTAAAACTATACACCGATAGGGGCTAGATGATAATGTTTACTGAGTGACCTGATAAGATTCTACAGAAAAATTTCAAAATTGTTCAGATAAGGTATTAACTTATAAAAGTTAACCAAGAATAATGGGTACTTCAGACCAAAAAAAGAATAATAGGTGCAGATGCTCAGATGCAGGAACAAGTTTTAACATGCAGTTATACCAACTACATAGGCATCATGTCATGATGGCCGAATTACAGGTGGCTTCATTAGGTTACCAGAAGAATCAAGCTTACCTATTCTAACTGGTATATGAGTGCCTTATCCCAAAACAATATAATTATCAGACGAATTTTTTTTTTTTTTTTTTTATCAACAAAATGTCATGCAGCTAACAGTGTACCAATTGGTGAATTTAAGCTATATATTTGGTTCACGTTAAGAATATAGAAAATGGAAAACAGAAAGGCGAAAAGAGTAGTTTATTGTGATTAGCTATGTAGAGGAAATGAAGGGGAAAATAAAGACGAGAAAAAACATTGCTAAATGCCTTTATAGCACTCCCCATATGATAAATTGCAATCTATCAAGAGTCCAGAGTTCCTAAAAGGATGGCATAGATAAAGAGAGAAACAAACTGAACAATAAGAAATCCACTAGCTAGCTAACTAAAATCTACCTAAAGTAGAAAACCAGATCTCGCAAATATAACTAATGTACAAAAATTAAAACTTGAACCTAAACTCATTTTACAGCTGCTAACACATATCATTATAGAAGAGTGAGAATTACACCATCGAAGCTACAATTACACCATCGAGACCAAATGCTGTAATTGGTTGACTTATTTCTGTCAAGCATTGTCATCATAATATCTATTTAACGAATGATAAACAAATTAACAAAGATATAAATTGATACGATTTCAAAACATCATGGTACATTTAGAGAAAATTAGGACCCCATCATCTATTTTGAAAATCACTCTAAACCTGAACGGTGTTATGTGTGGTTCGCATATAAAAATTGTATAGGTAAAAAATGATTTCTCAAAACCTAAGTATCATTATACATAAGATTGCTACCACAAAGCCAACCTAAGGCCAATATTTAGAACATTTATAATAATAAAAAGAAAGTTACACTGTAAAAAATGAAATGAAGGGTAGGAATATAAAAGCATCAAGAATTGCATTCAACCAACATTAATTTTTTCACTAACACTGAACAGTAACTTAGAAAATACCTAGTGTTGTTGACTTATTTCTGTCAAGTTGATTAACCACAGTGAACTTGAATCGTGCACATCTACTCCACCTAGATGGCAATGTTGAAGCATCTGCAACAACCAAAAATATTGGCAGGCTGGCATCTCTGTTCTGTTGTGACCCTTTGGATATAAGAGGATCTGCCTGATCAAATCAAACCAAATTTATGTAATCCAAAAATAATAATACAAAGCAGAAAAACAAAATTTAAAGTCACGTATCTATATAGAAGATAACTCAAATACGTACTATTTAAAACCACCAATGATGAAAACGTCAAAGGAATGTTTCTTGCTCTTCAACTTAGAGAAGTTTTCGACTCTCCATGTGAATCTGCCAGATACAATATCTTCATCTTCCGAAGTAAACTCCATATATTATATACCCTCTCAATTAGGTTAAGATTATAAAATAAAGGTCAAGAAGGAAAGATACTGTCAAGTGTTGGATATTGGATAAGAATCAACAGCATCAGGAGCATGGCAGAGTAACCCTAGTCATTAATCGAGTGATTTACCATTTCAAGCCACGATCTCAGACCTTTTTCTTTAGTTTTCTGTTGTCGCCGAAAACCCTTAATTTCAGTCTGTAATTGTTGCAAACTTTGTTTCCTTCTTATGTTATACTGTTTGAACCGTCTTGTCTGCCCAGCTTGTATGTAGTTGTACCTTAGGGATCCAGCCCACCTTGAAGAACGGTAAAGGCGACATTGGTAAATGAAAAGCTTGGTTGTTGGAGCATGAGTACATGCTTGGTTGTTGGAGCATGAATACATGCTTTTAAATTATTTAAGGGGAATTTTATTGAATTCATGTAATTTCTTTCTACATCCAACTTATTCTATTCATTCATATTATTTTTTATTAAATAATTAATATCTCTTTAAACCCAAATTTATTACCTAAACTACCCTCTCAAACCCAATTCAAATATAAAGTTATCTTAACACTCATTCCTGTTATAAATAACATCCAATTGAATTTTCTTTTTTAAAGAGGTGTCATTTACCGCTCTATAATTGCACATGCCATATTGGACTAGCATTTCCATGTCTTCTTTTTCTTTTGTTTTTTTTTTCTTCTTTCTGCTACCAAACACATCCATAGACTTGGGATCCAAGAGATCCTTCCATAGACTTGAATTTGCCAAAGAATGACGGCCGCTAGTTAATGGTTAAGGTTGATGAGGTTGGGCAATCTTTATCTACACCAAGAATCAAGTCAATATGTCTTTGCAGTACTAATCAAAAGTCATTGCAATGGTGGTTTGGGATGCCGACAGACACCGTCAGAGAAAAACAAATGCAATATAATATAAAAAGTATGAAATTTAATCCAAAGAAGAAGTAAACGCAAAATATCCATAAATCGAGTCATACCTTAGTTGAAGGATTAAAAACTTCAAAATAACCATCCATCAATAGAAAAAGCTTTGTTTTTCTCTATTAGAGCTATTAGGGTTTTAGCCGGAATGAACGTAGGATAAAGAAAGGGTGATGATAGGGTTTAATTATAGTGTGTGGGTTTATTGATAAATTTGGTATTTGCAATAGGATAAAATAGACAATTAACATTTAAAATTTAAGTTGGGTGTAGAAAAAAGTTACATGAATTTAAATAAAATTTCCTATTATCTAATCATTTTTTTTTTTGTCAGAGCAAGCCTACAACAATAAAAGCCCTAAATCTGGAAGAGTGCAAACTTCACCACACAAGCTGCGCCGCCATCGCCGATATGTCACCACCACCCGCGGAAAAAACGCTCCCATAATCCTACCAAATAGTGCGAAACGCACTTTAACAATCACCAAACACCATAGGTCAGTGGTGAAGGATTGATGACGGGGAGAAACGTCAAGGCTAAAAGGGGGCATAAAACCCAAATCTAAGACAATAAGGAAAAAGTGCAAGGAAAGAAATGCAGGGAAATAGGGGTGGGCATAAAAACCGCCAAACCGCAAAAACGCATCGAACCGTAAGAAAAAAAACGAAAAAAACTATATTGACCGGAAAAGTCAACTTTGAGTGAAAAACCGAACCGAACCGTTCAAACCGGTTCCGGTTCCAATTTCGAATGACTAAGAACCGGCCGAACCGAACCGAACCGTTTTACTAATAATAAATAAATATATTATATACACACACATGTCATGGTATAATAAGGTTGAAAAATTGTGTACAAGAGCTGCTGCTTCTTGCTTGCTCTCTGAAGTCTGAAAACCTGCAATTTGCTTCATGATTTTTTTGTTTGTTGACTGATTGACCAGTGCATATGTATTTTAGTTGTCTCTTTTTGTTGACTTGGTGCCACTACCAAAGACATTTGCATTAAAAAAGATGTGTTGTATGCAACTTTATGTAATCAGTTTTAGAAGATGTATTTGAATGCATAATGATTTGGTGTTCAAATAATTTATTATTAGGAACCGTAAACCGGCAAGAACCGAATCGGAACCGGTGTAGACCGAACCGTAATGTTCTAGTAATAAATTTAAGTGGAACCGTACCGAATCGAACCGTTAATATATTTCGGTTCCGGTTCCAGTTTAGGGGTGGAACCGCACCGAACCGCACCGAACCGCACCGTGCCCACCCCTACAGGGAAATAAAGGGTAAGCAAAAGTGAAAAGGAAAAGAAAATAAGGAAATAAGAGGATGACCTTGCCAAGGAGAAAAAGGAGGATGGAGCTGGAAAGCAAATCCCACGGAAAACGGGGAAGGAAGGAAGAAAAAAACAGAGGGGGTAGGGTCAGAGAGATTGGTGGAGACCAAAACAACAGGCAAATATCCAAAATTAAAAAGTAAATGACGTTCCTTTAAGACCCTTCGCATACAAGGTGTTCTTTTCTCGAGTCTCACCCCTCTTTGATGGCGGCTTGGCCGTCTCAAACTCTCCTTTTCCTTTTTAACGTTCTATTTTTTTTTTTAATTTTCAAATAAACAAAAGAAATTTTGTTTTAAACGATAGTTTTGGTATATTCTTAAATATATTTGGGTGTCCAAAGAAATTTATATTTTGTAGGAGGTGGCTAAAGAAATTTGTAAATAAAGCCCAATTAGTGTTTTCCAGTGAAATTTTATCTGGGCCAGCATACTTTGGGTCCAATGACCGTTTTTGGTCTAAACAGACCAAATCGAAATCCGACCGATCAAAACTCGTTTGAATGTGTTTTTAAAATAACTGAAAATACTTTTAGTAAAATATTTTTAAAACCAATTATTAGTAAAATACAAGATTATCCTGAAAAATCACTTCCTAAAAAAAAGCATATAATTTATGCTTTTTGTAAAAGTCACTTTAAATACATTTAGAAGCCAAAAATATTTTTTCTGACAAACTTAAAATACATTCAAATGAGTTTAAAGTTTCAGAACCAAACCCAAGCAATCGTAATCAACAGAGACAGAGAAACAATGGAGTTCCTCGAAAATGCATTCTCTGCGCTGGAGATTGACGCCGAAAACGACGATCCAACTTCTTCTTCTTCCGATGGCACTAGAAAATCTTCAGGTTCATTCACTTTCATTCCATGTGTTAGGGTTTATTATTGAGCCTAAAAATGTGACACGGCTGGAGGGAAAGGCGTCTTTGAAGCTTATTGCTTGTTTACTTCTCCGGATTGATTGCTTATAAATTAAGCTTACTGCTTACTTGGTTAGTGGTGAAGTTTGGTGCTGATTTGGGCTGTAAACCACTTTTTGCTTTTGTATTGAGCTGGTTTCGACAATTTCCGGGGCTAAGTCCCACTAGGAAGTTTTCGTGATTACTATTTACTTTCATCTTCCCAGTATATTTGGATGCTGCATACTTCCAGTGAACAACCATTTTAGGCTCTTTTTCTTAATATTTCTCTAAAAAAAGTTCTTATTTTTTTAATGGATCCTGCAATTTTGATGAAGTATAAATTTTTTGTTTACAGACAAAAAAAAAATCTTTATTTTTTCTAAATGTAACCCACATTCATGATGGACTAGTCATTGGGCATATATAATAAGTAATTGCCATAATAATGATTTGCTTAGGTGAATATTTGTTGATAATCCTGCTATGTGGATTGAAAAATATGAGTATATTCATTTTGATGATGCATCTTTTGAGGCAGGCAATAGCAAGAAGAAAGTCAACGACTCTGATAACAAGTTGCTGGTAAATGAGAAGCAGAGTAAGAAAAATACAGAGATACCTCCAGAAGAGTGCAAAATGCCACTGATATGGATTGACTTGGAAATGACTGGTAAGGGTAATATTGCTTGGTATAATACAAAAATGCCTAACTAAATAACATTGATAATTTCTTCGCTACTCTTGGGAACTAATTCTGTGTGGAACTTTGTTGTATGGAGTATATACATGTTGCATGATGTTACTTATTTGAGTTTAGAGGGTCGTGGCAATGCCCGCAGAAAGACATAGCTCAGGTCCTTTACATATTCTCTTCTAATCTTCGTTTCACAGTTGGAAAGGGGGAGGTTTTGTTTCTGGGATGATATATGGGAGTAACCTAATCTGAGATTCTGAGGGGAAGGATGGGGAATCTGTGTATTTCTTATGGGAAAATGCTAGACTTTTGGCTTGGCAATTCTTTTGCTTCTTCTTCCAAACTTGGATTGGACGTTTCGGGTTTTTAGGCTTTCTGTTAGTAGTTGCCGGCTTCTTCCGTTTTATTGGATAGGTGTCTGTATTTCCTGCTAAGAATGTTCTGTTTCATGCAGGTTTAGGGCTATTTATATATAGACTACTGGTCCACCTTAATTGTACTTCTTAGTCTTTTTGATTATTAATGTACTCATTCTGTTTCCTTCCTTGAAAAGAAGACAAAGATACACATAAAATATGTAGGAATGCTGGGCAACGTACATTAAATCAAACTGACCTATTATTGTGCTGTCTGCTTTCACTTCACTTAATGATTTCTATGGTTAATTGCCCTAAATATGCGATGACACAAAAATATTCACTTTTATTTCCGTGGACGTGCAGGTTTAAATGTTGAAGTTGATCGAATACTGGAGATTGCTTGTATAATTACTGATGGAAGATTAACCAAATCAGTGGAGGTATTTTCAGCATTGTGCATTAATGTGTGGATCCTCTGTGTATTTCTATTTTTAGATTTTGCAGGTGTAGTCAACTACTCTGTGTTATCCCTGATTGCAATTTAAAAGATTGTATGAGAGTATTCATACATAATTACTTTATGCCGCATGTATCCCCTGCATTTATTATGTCCAATAAAAAAAAAAACAAAACAAAACAAAGATACACAGAATCAAAATGTTTGAAAGTGAAAATGAGATCAAAACATCTCAGATATGTTTCATTAAGTAGGTTTCAAAGGGCAGGTTTTAGTTTTTTTCAATCCTATAGAAGCTGTAGGAGTGATGCTCACTAGTAGTTTAATTATGACGGAAACCGTCAAAGGCTTTTTCATTCTCCCTTTGTCTTCCTTAAAGACTGGAAATAGGTTGTCTTCATCATTGGTTTTTTGTATTTTTTATTTTTAAATTTATTATCATATAATTCTGAAGAAGTTAAAGAAACAAAAACCTGATTGAGTCAAGGATGTTTGTTTGAAGGAATACGCTTAGATGTTATCCTTTTCCTTGATACTTATTATGATGCCTATCTGTTCTTTTATCATTTGGGCTCAATTCCTAATCTATTATTATTTTTTTCCCTACTTGTTACCCCTTTTATATTTCAGGGCCCTGATTTAGTTATCCACCAAACCAAGGAGTGTTTAGATAGAATGGGAGAATGGTGTCAAACACATCATGCAGCTAGTGGTAAGTAAGCAGGGTAATCCGACATCGTACTTCTTGGGAACATATGGTTAAACATTTGTCTTTATCGCCAAGCGTCATATCATACACAAGAATCTATTATCATTTTAGCGTATGGTGTAAGATTTTATGACTGACAAACTTTAATAATATTAGGGTTGGCAACAAAAGTGCTCAAAAGTTCGATTAGTGAAAGAGAAGCTGAACAGCAGGTGCGAAAGAACTCTTTTTACACATGAGCTATATTAATTTTGGTTGGCATAATTAATTATTATTCTGTCATTGGATGTCTGGGATTCTTTTAATCAATATTCGTTGTGATTTTAATAACTCGTGTTTAATCATAGGATTGAATAAAAAGAATTAAACCCTTTCAGTTGAATAATTGTTAGAGAATTCCACCTCTGAGTTTCTCGATGTCAAAATAACAAACAACCTGGAATCTTTGGTCATTTCCTCGTGTAGAGAAGACCAATTTGATACTCATTGTAATTTTCCTTATTTGTTTTGGATAACATAATTCCACAACCTAGTTTTGATGAACCACATAATTTAATTGTTATATATGGTAATCACCCTCTTTTCCCTTCAATTCTGACCTTTTTATACGTTCTAGTTCTGTTTAAGCAAATTTATTATTAATGATATATTATAGTCACATACTTCTTTCTTTATATTTCTTGGTAAGTAAATATGTGCTTGAATACTGCAGGTCATAGAATTTGTGAAGAGAAACATTGGAACATATCAACCTCTCCTAGCAGGAAATTCAATTTATGTAGATTTTGTGTTTTTGAAGGTAATTTGATTCATTTTTTCTGGATTTTTGTTTATGATTTACTTCAATTGCAAAAAATTCTAATACGGGAATGACTTATTTGTTAGTATTTGGTTATTAGTAATGCTTTGCAATTTATTTCATAAGCCGATAAACATGCGAGGACCCCACTGTGCCACACATCAATTTTGTTTTTGCATTAATGCCTGTTTTTCACTTATTTGGTTGTTTTTCTGTTATGTCAGAAGCAGGTAAGCTTATTGTATTAAGGGGAAACATGTGTAGCGGAGCTTGGAGTAAAAAACATGGAGTGTTGGTAAATAGGGACCAGGCCGTAGATATAGTTTTAATTGCAAACGAGGTTGTGGAGGTGAGATTAAAAGAACAAAAAGAAGGGAGGATTATTGAAGTTGATTTAGAAAAGTTCTATGACCATGTGGGTTATGGTTTTGTTGATTTTTGTTTGGAGCAATAAGGTTTACGGGGCTTTTGGAGGAAATGGAGAAAAACGAAAGGGTGTAATTGTGTCTATTTAGAAAGATGTCACACCTATGTTTTTCTCATTTTGTTACCGTACTTAGATATAAATATAATCAGCTTGGTTGGAGTTCTTTTAACTGGCTTTTTTTTCTGGCAGAAGTACATGCCGGATCTGGCTAGCCTTTTCTCCCATGTACTAGTGGATGTTAGCAGTATTAAAGCTCTATGCATTCGCTGGTATCCTAGAGGTAAAAATACTTACATAACCTGGTATACTCTGTAATTTTTCTCTACCACTTAAAGGCACACTATTTATTTATTATGAATTAAAACATCCATCCCTCGGTGACCTCAGTCTATGTTGTTGGCCACGCCAGTGACTTCCCTTCCCATTGGCCCGGCATGGTGGTTAGGTCTTGGTGGTTGTGTGGTTTCTTATTGGAGTAGGATTCTCTCCCCTTTCATTCCCCTCCCTTCCAGTCTCCTCTCTCTCTCTCTCTCTCTCTCTCTCTCTCTCTCTCAGAAACACAGGATGTTGACGTGGTTTAATCGTGAGCATTCAAATAGGAGGTATTCCTGAGTGAATTTACTTGTGACAAGCATTGACTAACATGGTTGTTTAGCGCAGATAATAAGAAAGCCCCTTGTAAAGAAAATAAACACAGAGCCTTGGATGATATCAGAGAAAGCATCAAAGAACTCAAATACTACAAGGAGAATATATTCAAAGGATTCAGAAAGTGATTCAAGGAGGCTACTTCATTACCAGCAGTTTGTGTATTACTATTATAATTATGCATTATAATTAAACAATAGAGTGATTTGTATTGGGATTCCATCGTTGTTACGCAAACCCGTCAAGTTATATATTTATATCCAACTTAGATGCTGGTTGTTTTTAATCTTAAATTTCAATAGACCTTGGTTTTAATCTTGTACATTTTTTCAAAAAATACTTCCTGAAACTGACGTCCAAGTTTTCCAGATTCTGAGCACTATCTTGCAGGGGTATCAGGGTATGGTTTGGAATGGATTGGTTTTGCCTCCAATTTGCAACAGAATCAATTACAACTGAATGCATTGGTTCGGTTTGGGTACAACACAAATCACTGCGGAAAACGAATCAAACCAAATTAGTTCTTTATTTTTTGGGCAAATGGTTCGGTTTCATCTGGGCGTTTGGGGCCTTAAATTGCAATTTTGTATACTTTTGTAATTGTCCAACTTTGTTAGTTCAATAACATAGAAATAAAAATAAAGAATGAAATGGGATTCGCATTACCGGTAACCGCAAGAGAGAAGTCGTGAATTGAACTCATTTTCTTTCATTCTTTTTATTTTTTTTTGGTTGACAACGGGGCGTAAGCTTGAAAGAAAAGGAAGATTACATTAGAATATCATAAAGCCACGAGACTCCAGCTATATCTGCAACTAGCAATCGATAAGTAAATGTGCTTAAATGGTTTTTAGTTAAATTCTAGTATAACCGGTAGCCAAAAAACCTGGTAGAGGATTCAAATTCTTCGTAAATGTGCAATTAACCATCCCGTCCAATATAAATCAGTACAATTGTGATAATGCGAGGAAAAAGTCCCACATTGTTGAGGGACCAAACCATGCAAGGTTACTCATCTACTCATCATATAGCCAATTGATTTTATGCTAGAATCCCAACTTTCATCATGATCAGAGCAGGTTGGCCCACACATAAAGCCCAACGGCGGCAAGTCAGTGAGATCTTCTTGTTTATATTGTCCACATGCTAGACTTGAAAATTCGTCACACGTGAGAATGTGAGGACAAAGTCTCACATCGGCAAGGGACCAAACTGGGCAAGTACTTATAAGAGGTTGAACTACTCCCCATGTTACCAATTGATTTTACGGTGAAACCTCAACTTTCTTCAACAATCATCACTGTGAACACTGGTTTGTCATCCCTTGCTGGTTATTCTCTATTCTAAAACACCACCATCCATTTTTTATCCGAAGAACCCGAACAACAATTTCCTTTCGTCATCTTTTTGCGAGTATTTCACGTTTGAAAAGAACACGACATGAAACAGTCCCCAGACAAGCAAACGAAAATATGGTACAATTTAAATTCAGAGCTAGATTTGTTTTAAACTTCATAGCACTCCAAGTTCTACTACATATTTGCATGCACTGCATAAATTTGTCTGAGGGATCATTATTATATATCTGAGAGAAATTCTACCGTAAATTAAGCTAACGGATAGCCTAGCTCACTATCCATATCTATCTTGCTGAAGTACTCTTCTTCTGCCTCTGCCAAATTTCTTTTTGCTACCTCAAGCTCGGCTTCTGCGTCCGCTAAGATAGCCCGACGCGTCTTTATTTCGTTCTCCAAAACATCGACATCTTCTTTCAGTCTATTCACTATTCCTACCTTCTTCATCATGCCAAAAACAGATAGAACATGAGGCTTCAGCCAAGCCAAGTCAAATTTGAAAGCTTCAAGCTCCTCCCATAACAGTTGAAGACGTTGACAAGCATCAGCGTTCATATCCTTGGCCTTTGTAGTCTTCAGAAAATGCAAGACTCGGCCCAGAGCTGTGAATGCACATTGAACAAACGTACGACTCCTCTTCATCTGGCACTCAATCAAAGAAGGATACGACGAACAAACTTCCTCCAACAATGGAACAAAATTTTTCCCTATTCGCACTAAACCCCTGAAATCCATAAGCTCACCAGTTTCTTGGTCTTCTAAAATTTTAATACCGTTACGAACTGAAACTTCAACTTCAACAACACATACATCATTCACCAGGTACCCCGTATCATGGCGATGAAGCTCACTTAGAGGAATGAATGATGTAAGGCCCCAGTCAGCTGTGCTTGCCGTAAACGTATGTTCCAAGTCTGTAAAATCAGAAGTATATATATCAACGATCACAAAAACATTAATCAAGAATCAAGCATATGAATAACTAATGTATCCATATAAAAGATAGAAGAGGCCATTTGGATTGTATGTTCTAATGGATCAACTGAATAGGTAAGAAAAGCACAGTTCAAAGAGATACGAAACAAATGTTCAATTAACCAACTTTAGTCAATTGAGCTATCGACCGTACGTAGTATACTTTCCAACACTAACTAACTACCTTCAGCTGGGGCATAGACTTAAGGTATGTTTAACATCAACAGTCTCCACACAAATGTAACTCTTCAAATACCAGTTTGTTAACTTATGCAGCAATTTGAAAGAGTAAATTTTGATACTTTACAATTTTGTTCTCCAACAGGCTCTATAAAATTTAATATTATATTATGTACTATCTAATATGAAACAAGTTGGTTCCACATTTTGTTGTTGTTATGGGATTAATTAATGGAGATGGTGAGAAAAGAACACATTACCATATTAAAATGAATGTTTGAAGGCTTGGTTAGAAACTCTTATTTGAAGAATGAATTTAGCTACTCTTGGAGCAAGAAAATCCTATGTGGCTCTACATATGTAGTTCAAAACATGAATTTAATAACTCTTGGAGATGCTCGTGTGCCTACTTCACTACGACAATATGGATGATCAGCAATGAGTGAATACAAACAATCTTATACTGGCAAACAAATTCCCAACTACATGTACATACACATACATATGTATAATATATATCATTACGATAAGGGGAAACACATTTTTTCACATATTTTGGCACCTGTTTAGTAGGGCCCACTTCGTAATTTATATCAACGATCCGAACCGTCAATCTTTTAGGTCTACTTTCAAAAATCATAGCTACCAAAAATCATTCAAATCCAAAACCATATGACCATTGGATTAATGTTGGTCATTCTAGTTTTTCTTTGCAAAACAATGTCTGTCCATTTTATTAACCACAAAAGAATGCCTTAATAAGTTTGGATTACTCTTAATTTTTTTCAAGGTTGATCAATGAATGATGAATTGAATATAGATGGTTCGCATTATTGAAATACATTATGAAGTGAGCCCCACAAAATGAGTGCAAAAATGTGTGAAAAAATGGTGTTGCCCCTTTTTCTTGCTGTGACCCTAGGTCTCATGTACAGTTTCCCTTCCAAGTGTAGCACATATCCAACACAAACAATGGCAAGGCTATATAGTAAGAAGTACAAAAGAAACTAAAAGTAGGGGGAAGGCAAAGAATCGCTAAATTCTATTTACCAAACTTTTCCTTGAGTAAATGGCAAGCCCATTAGGTAAAAATTCGAATTGCGACTAATATGATCAGTAGAGAAGATACCCTTTGTTATTGACTTGTTGGTATCAAATTGATCAACGAGGGTGAGCTTGAACTTTGTATATCTGTTCCACCCATATGGTAATGTTGAAGCCTCTGCAGCATCCAAATACACAGACAAGCAATCGACGTTGTTTCCCCCTGCATATATAAGCATCCGCCTGCAGATCAAACCAGTAAACCCTAAACCCACCTACAAATTATATATTATACCATAAAAAATTAAGCTTGTAAATACAAGATACCCAAGTGCACCATTTATAACCACCAATGACGAAAACTTCAGAGTAATGCTGGTACTTTTTCAACTTAGAAAAATTGTCAATTCTCCAGGTGAATGTTCCAGACACAAGGTCCTCCTCTTCCACCTTCTTGATCATTCTATATATACCAAGCTCATCAAATAAATAAGTAAATAACTAAACGGATATAATATATAAATACAAATAAGGAGACTAAAGCCGATACTTAGTTAACAGAGACTACGTACTTACCTTGCAACTAACGAATGTGTCATGAGTCTCGACTCTCGAGAGATATTAACACAGGGAGAGGGAGAGAGATTGTCTTGATAAAAGCGGTGAAAAAAAAAAAAAATAGAATTTGACACACCTAATATACTTCGCTAAGTCCTTGTTGTAAGTCATGAAAAAACCCTAGGCTGTCCACAGGTGGGCTCAAAATTTTGATTTAGAAATTTTATTTGAACCCAAATAACTTATTTCTACACCTAAGTTTATTCATTATATTTATATTATTTTTAATTAAACTATCAATATCTCTTTAAACCCATATTTATTACTTAAACTATCCTCACAAACTCAATTCAATATGTAAATTTATCTTTACACCCATGCTATTAACTTATTGAATTGTTTAGATCAAACCTCATCCCTTGCTGGTTATTTTTTTTTAGCGTCAAAAATAGAATTATAGAAGTCAACATGGTGATAGGACAAGAACTCATCAATGTGATTGGTACAAATCCACCTCAAGTTGGGTTGGGTAGGAGTCTACAAGAGAAATTTTGGGAAGATCTTGGAGAATTGGTCCAAGGAATCTCGTAGACGGAGAAGGTATTCACAGGAGGAGATTTAAATGGACATGTGGGCAAGGAGATAGACAACTACATAGGTGTGCTGCATTTGGAGAGAAACGAGGAGGGAAAAACCATTTTGGATTTTACAATGGCATACGATCTCTTTCTAGAAGAGCACATGGCCATCTACAAGAGTGGGTCGTCAAAAACACAAATAGATTTCTTTTTAAGGGGGAAAGGGGATCATATAATTTGTAAGGAGTGCAAAGTTATACTGGGAGAGAATCTGGCTTACCAATATGTCTGTTGGTGATGGATATACATATCAAAAGAGATAGAAGAAAGAACAAGACCTTGAAGTGTCCAAGAACTAGATGGTGGAATCAAAAGGGGAAAAACAAGTCACTTTCAAAGAGAAAGTACTTGCCTATGCATTTAGGATATAGAGGGGAATGTTAGCCAAATGTGGATTCCATGGCTACTGTATCCGAAAAGTTGCAGAAAGTGTATTAGGAGAGTCCAAGGGTTTTGTTCCACATCAAAAGGAATCTTGGTGGTGGAAGGAGGATGTACAATAAAATGTTAAGGCTAAGAAGGAATATTGTAAAGTCTTATACAAGGATATAACCAATGAAAACCATGAGAGGTATAAAATAGCGAAGAAGAAGAAAGTCGTGAGAAAAGCGAACGGATTTTGACGATATGTATAAGCGATTGGATACCAAAGAAGGAGAGTTGGATATCTATAAACTGGCTAGAGTAAAGGGAAAGGATGACAAGAGACTTGAACTAAGTGAGGTGCATCAAGGATGAGAAAGGAAATGTTTTAGCTATGAAGAACACGGTTAAAGACAGAAGGAGAGATTAGTTTCATAATCTTTTCAATGAAAGACACGAAATGAGTACTTCTTTGGGTGAAGTGGTTGCACCTTTTGAAAAAAATGAAGCAATGAAAAACAGTGGGTCTCAACAGTATTCGAAGTGTAGAAGGTCTTGAGAGAGACAAGTATAACATGACTCATAAACCTTTCAATAAGAATTTGAAAATAAAGATGCCAACTTAATGGCGAAAAAACACTTTGGTGCCTAACTACAAGTATAAGGCAACATACAAAATTGCATGAACTATAAGGGTATTAAGTTAATGAGTCATACAATGAAGTTATGGGAGATAGTAATTGAGTATAAACTAAGGCAAGAGACACGAGTATCTAACAATCACTTCGAGTTCATGCCAGAGCACTCAATTATAAGGAGATCGATGGAACGATATAGAGACATGTAAAAGGATTTGCACATGGTCTTTATAGATTTTAAAAAAAGCATATGATAGGGTCCTAGAGAAATTCTTTGGAGGATTCTAAAAGAAGAAAAGAGTATGAGTAACATATATCCAAGCAATAAAGGATATGTATGATGGAGTAAGGACTGCAGTAAGAACTTATTAAGAACAAACTGTCTGTTTTCCCGTTAGTATAAGGTTACATCAAGGATCAGCTTTAATTTCTTACCCTTTTGAATACTTTAGCAGATGATATAGTGTTGATAGATGAGACGCATGAAGGAGTAAATGAGAAACTTAACCTTTAGAGGAAGTGTTGGAATATGAAACTCTTCGCCTAAGTAGGTCAAAGATAAAGTCTATGGAGTGCAAATCAGTGCAAATGAAGGTTCGGTGAGATAAGGGTGAACATTGGAGATCAAGAAATACCAAAGAGTGAACATGTTCGTTATCTTATATCTATCTTGCAAAAGAACAGAGAATTGGATGGAAATCTCAACCATAGAATACAAGTTGGATGGATGAAGTGGAAGAGTGCATCGAGTGTGTTGTGTGACCGTTATATTACACTAAAACTTAAGGAAAATTTTATAGGACGATAATAAGGTCATCAATGCTTTATGGCACATAACGTTGGGCGGTCAAGTATCAACCCATGCAAAACCAAGAGTATAATGGAGATGAGAATGCTTCTTTGAATGTGTAGGCACATGAGAAAAGACATGATTAATAATAAGGATATTTGAGGTAAAGTAGGAGTAGCTACAATTGAAGATAAGATGAGAGAAAACCGGTTAAGGTGGTTTGGACATGTGAAACGAAGACTTATAGATACTCTTATAAGAAAATGCGATTATGAGACAAAAGCTCAGGGGAAAAAGGGTAGAGGAAGGTCTATGAAGACTTGGGTGGAGACCTTAAGAAAATATATAGAGTACTTGGGCCTAACAGAAGACTTGGCGTAAAACCTAGCGCAGTGGCGTTTTAAGATTCATACAACTGATCCCACTTAGTGGGACAAGGCTTTGTTGTTGTTGTTTTTATTTATTTATTTGTTTTTTGGATAACCTGGCTGTACGAGGGAAATTTATTGATATGAAAAAAAGTTACACCTAGTCAAGGGAGACATAAACCATACCCCTCATAATGCAAGAAAAACAAAATACATGAAAAGAGGGGGTGGGGGGCATACATCCAGCACCAACAGGCGATGTTGGTTAGTTGGGCTAACTTTGCAATCCTTACAACTTATACGATCCCCCTTCTCATGAAAAGAAATTTATTTGTGTTTCTGATGACCACTATTTTCTCTTGTTAAAAAAAGTATTGTCTAGAAAGAGATTGTATGCCATTGTGAAATTCAAAATGGCTTCCCTTTCCTTGTTTCTCTCTCCAAAACCATGGGAAGCTCTATAGTTGTCTGTCTCCTTACTCACATGTCCATTTAAATCTTCTCATGTGAGTACCTTTTCTGTCTGAGAGATTCATTTGACCAATTCTTCCAGATCTTCCTAAAGTTTCTCCTTCAGACTCCTATCCAACTCAACTTGAGATGGATATGCATTAATCACATTGATGAATTCTCCTATCACAATATTAATTACTATAATCCTATCATTGACCTTCTTAACATCTACAGCATTTAGTGTGGAGAAATTGGAACAATTCCTTTGAACATGAACATTTAGTGTGGAGAAATTGGAGCAATTCCTTGGACCAATTTTATTAAAATAAATAATTTTTGGGTAAATCTCAGTTTACTACCCTCATGTTTCGTGGTTTTCAACATTTAGTACACGAAATTTTTTTCGTCTCAGAGTCATACCTAAAGTGATAATTTTGGGACAGTCTCATACATCCGTTAGTCTGGCTATTAAGTCTGCCATTAACTGATGACTTGGCGCCTATGTGGACAATGATTGGGTATCACGTGTCATTTAGGGTTCACGTGGAATTTATTTATTTATTTTCCAGGAGAAAGGGTTCAAATAAAAAAAAAAAAAAAAAAAAAAAAAGATCAAAATTCAAAATTCAAAATTGTATCTCATCCATCCTTCCCTCCTATTCTCTTACCTAACCTCCCTGCGGCGGGAACCGTAGCCACACATCCTTTAATCAACAAACCAAACCTCCAATTTCTCTGATACAAAACCTAGCCATGCCGCTGCCGACAGAGCTCCGATTGAAGTCTAGTGGTGACCGTCATGGAAATGCAATAGCGTAGTTCCTCGGCCACACACGATGGGTTTTTTAATTTTTTTTTTTGCTTTTTGGTTGGGATCGGGTGACTGTCTTCTTCCTTGGCCACACACACCCACACTTATCCTCACTCTTCCTCTCAGACCATCCTTATTCTGATTCCTTAACCCACAAAACCCGGCGTTTCGTTTCGTCAAGGATCAAGGAAGCCGACCTGCTCGGCTTACTCTTTGCCACAGTCCCGTTCTGGCTGCCCCAATTCCCCAACACCTCATCAGGATCGAAATCCCTGACCTCGAACTCATTAGACATGGTGTCGTTCTCATCGACGATGCCGAACCTCTAGACCACATTAGGCGACAACAAAGAAGGATGAGGCGGAGATGGAGGAGGCGAAAACAGTAGAGGTAGAGCTACGGTTTCGTTTATGAGGGTAGAGAGGTTGAAAGGCTTGTCTAAATTTGGCGAGACAGAGACGGTGGAGCGTGCTCGACGCGTGGTGGTGATGCGACTCTAAGCTATTGAGCTTTTAGGCCCATCCATACCTCAAATCCTAGTTATCTTTAAGTATATTTAAACTTTTTTATGATGAAAAAAGACTATGAATGAAGATATGAATTTCCTTTGATTTCCTTTTCCATTTCCTGCATTTACTTTCTTGCAATTTTCCTTTTACCATGTCTGATCCTATCAATTGGTACCAGAGCCAGAGATCCACCGCGGCTCTGTGGTTTGGACCCGTCGATCCCACACTTCCAGCGCCGTGGACGAGTGTGATTGATGATTCCGGTGGTATGGTGTTCTATTGGAATCCAGAAACCAATGTTTCTCAGTATGAACATCCAAAACCACCTCCACAATGTTTCTCAGTATGAACATCCAAAACCACCTCCACCTCATCCTCCTCCCGATCAATACCACATTCCATTCGAGTATAAACCCACCTTTCCTTCTTCTGATCCTACCTATCTACCACCAGATTACCAAGCCTCATATATGCCTGAGCTTCACGTAGCTCCTTCATATACCAGTCCCATTTTCCTCCCGCACCCTGCACCACCTTCTGTTATGTATTCGGACTCCATCGATGTCCCTCCAATCCCTCATTTCTACGCCACAAACCCTAATTTTCACTATCCCCAAATTTACTCCCCATCGTCATATGAACAAAATTCGTGGGTTTTCGATTCCGAGAACCGTCTACGATTTAATGACCCCCATCAGGGATCTCCTTACGAACTCGACTTGGGTCCCGATTCGAAAGTGCATACAGCTCCTACAGCAGGAAATGTCTTCAGCATGGTCAGAGGTGTTCGCCACACATCTCCAAAAACGTCGCTTAAATCGGCTCGAGCAAAGCATAAACTTGCAATTTCAATTTGATGTTCTCAGTCTTGTCGGAGATCAACCTTGGGTTCCCCATGCAATCCAGATGTTTGATGGAATGCCAAAAAGAAGAATTAAGGACCCAATGCCTAATTTTCTCACCTTGGACCTTATGGAACAATTTAAGTCTGGTTTGGCTATTAATGAGTATACAAGCTGTGCTTTGAGAGCTTTAAGGGCAATACGAATGTTGAGGTTTCCATTTGATGAGGGAGGGGTTCTACGACAACTACAGATTGTCAAGTATGTATTTAGGCAACTGTGTCAGTTGACAGAAACAAGTATTAAAATTGTTTCGGATCAATTGAGCATTGTGGACATTACACTTTTGTCTCCTGTAAGTCTAGAGCTCTCTCTCTTGGCTTTCGAACGGAGCAATTTACATATTACAAGACCACCAATCTTGATTCTTACAGCAGTGTTTCTGCCCTTTGAAGATTTTTCTATTATTTGTAGACATTTCCAAATAGTCTCGAGCAAGGAAAATATGGTGTACCACTTCAAGCCAGTTGAGAAATTCATGGAAATATTTGAGAACGTGTGGATAAGCTGGATAACACAACTTATTGGTATGCATCACACAGGTGCGCTGAACATGGAATCTCTCATGAAGTTACAGAGGCTTTTACCATTCACAGGAGTTATGTTTAAGTACATGAATCCAATGGCAGCCGCCTATATTAGTTCTGAAAATCAAAGACATGTTTTTCTTATCTTTCGTATTGAATTCATTGTTTTGAGAACTGCTTCTGACAAGTATTGGGATAGTGAGGAATATGTAACATGGTGCCACTTCAATGTTGCATGTAACGTCGATCTTATGGCAGATGTTTTTATGACTCATACAACTCATGTTCTTTTAATGGAGAGTTATTCTTCTGGTCCTGCTACTTCTATGTCTCCTACTCATGTTCAGCCTCCAGTGACCACTTTTGTTCATGGTTTGGTTTTTCACCTTCGTAAGCATGAATTAGATAATGTCTCCGTGGGGATGATAACTCAAGTTGCTGCCACCCTTCGTTATTGGTTGAATGTGAATGTTTTGTTTATTGCCAAATGGGTTGAAACAGATAGCTTTCGTGTCATTGTTCACATGGAGTGTGAAGTGTTGAGCAGAAAGTTTGTTGTAGCTGATCTTTTTTATCATCATGCCAAAGTGCGAGTTACCTTGGCAAATATGAGAGCCGTACTAGAATTTGGAAGATGGTTTTCTCTGGTGTACACGGAAATTATTATTAATGGCTGGAAATTGTATTATGTTTGACGTGAAAGTAACCATAACACTCTTCTGATTGCTTTAGCTTTGGTGAACATGATCCATATTCTTTACGGGGAAGGAATGCAAACATTGCTTTCACGAGGTGGACAGGGGTCAAACAACACAGAGTGGAAGAGAAATGCTTATCTGATCCACTTATTCACCTATGCAGTCCAGAGTAATGAGTCGGCTGTAATATGGTTCCTCACGAGTGATAGTTCATCTGTAGCTTGGATCAGACATGTTTGCTCTGTAGTAGACCAGATGACAAACCCCCTTGATGGTGTGCCAATTATTGGAAGAGTCTTGCTGATTTAGCACTCTTTTTGCAGCATAAGATGGCAACTTATAGGATGCTTGGTGCCGATTCGCTGCTCTACTTCAGGGACTATCAAGGCATTCAATCATCCATGGAATCTCTCAACTGGTGGGAGATCTCTTCGACATTTTTTGGTGTATTGCAGAACAACAATTGGCCTTCACTCACTAAGCTTGGGGTCTTCTTATTCGCTAAGTTTTGGGTCTGCAATTTATGGGCGCTTTTGTTTATGAGCACCAACAGTGATCTCATTGTCCGCAGCGCTACAAGTTGGATTGACCAACTAATGGGAGTTACTGAGCCTAAAAATCTGAATGCCAATATTCGAAGTTGTCTACTCTTGACCATAATTACTGAGACTCTGGTACCAGCTGCACAAAATGCAGAAAACCATTTGGACAACAATTGTCATTCTTTTTGGGTACTAGACTGCAATTCATTCACTTACAATGGGGTATTGGTCATCTTTAATGCAATCTATCTACCACCGGAGTTGGTGGTCGGTGATGCAACAAAGCTGATTGTTCTCTTGCTCAATGCTGTCAAGATTAGTGTGCTCCAACTCTTTTATTCCATCTCAAAGTATTTGGCAAATCTGCATGATTTCATTTTGGCAGGATATGAGTTAATGATCTTTGCTTTTTGGGTGAACACACTGAAAAAGTTTTGGAAGGACATGGTTCATGATTTAAAGACCATACAAAAGCTAATACTGCACATGAGTATGGTACACAATTGGACAAATTGGATGGCCTCTTTCCCGACTGCTGCTTGCGTCTTTCTCAGCTTGAGAGGCTTGAGGACAAGCCTCATCTTAAGGGGTGGGATTGATGCGACTCTAACCTATTGAGCTTTGGTTATGACTAGTTAGACCGCTATTGTCATTACTATCCATTAGGCTCTTTACTTAGGTAATACTATTAGGCCCATCCATACCTCAAATCCTAGCTATCTTTGGATGTATTTAAACCCTTTTTATGATGAAAAGAGACTATGAATGAAGATATGAATTTCATTTGATTTCCTGTTCCATTTCCTGCATTTACTTTCTTGCAATTTACCTTTTACCATATCTGATCCTAGCAGGTGGTGGTGAAGAAGAGGAACCACTGTAACCCATCTGACCAGTGCTTCCCGAGGTAGAAGAAGGTGACTGCTATCTTCACAAATTCCCAAATTTTCAGGTAATTTAATTTAATTTAAAGGAAAACTAATGAAAAGAATTTAAAAATTTTGAGTTTTAATGATAGGGACAAAATAAATGGTAAAATGAATAGTATTAGGATTGATTTTTTAATGTAAAAATATGATTTTTTGTTAAAATGAATAATATGGACTTTTCATTAAAACTTCTTTAATTTAATTTAATTTAATTTAATTGGATGGAATTGGAAATAAAGAACACATCGAAACGAAACGCTGCATTTTGGTGGGTTGAGGAATCGGAATTGGGATGGTTTGAGAGGGGTGAGGATCTGAAGGTTGAGTGCGGGTGCGTGTGGCCGAGGAAGAAGAAGTCAGAAAGGTGTAAAATTATTCGGGTAGTTTTTTTAATTCTAAATTTTAATTTATTTTTAATTTACATGGGCCCATATTGACACGTGACGTCTAGTCAGTGTCTATGTAAACGTTACGTCATCAGTTAACAGAGATTTTGATGAAAACTTAAACTAGGACGAAAAACACTTGATGTATCAAATGTTGAAAATCAATGAACTTCAAAGTAGTAAACTAAGATTAACCCATAATTTTAATATTAGAAGAATGCCTTTGAACCATGAACGTTTAGGGGGGAGAAATTGAAAGTTGAAATAAAAGGGTAACGACATAAGAAAAACGATAAAGTTCAAAGAATATTGTGATCAAGTTTGGAACTTAGTTGAAAGTTCAATAGAAAGATTTGTGGAAAATGCACATTCAGACCAACTTCAAAGAATGCACGGAGAAGAAGACTAAATTTTCTAACAAAAAAAATCAAAAAAAATTATAAATTATTAATAATAATATTAATTTAGCATCAGACTGCCGGCCACTCCTCACACATCATTAGCTAATTATCAACAAATAAACCATTTATAATTAGACAATTATTGATTACCATTGAACAAGACTCGTGAATTCTAAGTCAATGCCTTTGCTGCCTTTTATTTTTTAAAAACCCACGTCCCAATCAAAGACTTTGGTGCCCAAAACGTACAGGATTGTTGTCCTATTATTCTGTCTATTAGTCTATCTAGTACAGATTTTGGTTGAACTTTACAGTGAGGAATAAGATTGTCTCTCCTTCTCTTTCTATCTCCTTTTATTCTCTTATCTCACACTCTTTATTTTATCTTTTTCTTTTTATAAAATATTGACGTGCCTTAATCATAATCGTTCAAATAGGATGGAAGGGAAATGAAGGAAAAAAAAAGAGAAAAGAGAATCTTACTCTTTATAATAAACAAGTTGTAAAATGGGTTGAAGACTTTGAAAATTTGGAAGTTGGGAGGCATCATCTTAATTATAAATTCATGTATTGTGCTAAGAAGCTATCTCCACCAAAGCAAAGAGAACTTCGGACGATAATGGTTAGCTTTGCAACTTACTTATTCAAGCCTTCTTCTCACCTCAAAATGGCTCACTATTTGCTCCTCTGGTTTTTGGCCTCTTCATGTCTACACGCTAGTGTGAACTCATGCATCGGCGAAGAAAGACGTGCGCTTCTCGCCTTCAAAGAAGACGTTACTGATCCTTCCGGGAGGCTTTCTTCGTGGGTTGGACTTGACTGCTGTCAGTGGAAGGGAATTTCATGCAATAACATCACGGGTCGTGTTGAAATGATGAATCTCCAGAATGCGTATGTGTATACGCTTTCTGCTTTTGATGGAGAGTGGGACGAGATGGAGTACTCTTCTTTGGGTGGTAAGGTAAATCCTTCTTTGCTTAGCTTGAAACATTTGAATTACCTAGACCTAAGCAGGAATGATTTTCGAGGGATTTCCATTCCCGAGTTCTTTGGTCAGATTAAAAGTTTGAGGTATCTCAATCTCTCATCTGCTTCATTTGGAGGAGACATTCCACCTCATCTTGGTAATTTGCAAAACTTGAACTATCTTGACCTTAGCGAAGAATCTGGATACTCCATGCTTGAACTCCCTTCCGAAAACCTGAATTGGCTTTTTCGTCTCTCTTCCCTAAAGTACCTCAACCTCAAAGGATTGGACCTCAGCAACACCGGGGTAAGTTGGCTAAATGTTGTCAACATGCTTCCTTTCCTAGTAGAGTTACATTTGTCATCATGCCAAATTCAAAGCCTTCTACCACTTTCACCAGGAAATATTAGCCTTGCATCACTTTTGATCCTTGATGTGTCATACAACAATTTGACGTTTCCGTTTCCTGAATGGTTTTTCAATCTGGCTAACCTCAGAAAACTTGATTTAAGCGGAAATTCTTTGAGTGGTCCCTTTCCAAGTGAATTTGAAAGCCTCAAATCACTTGAACACCTTGACTTATCTTTCAATAGCCTTGAGGGTCAAATTCCGAAACTTCTTGGGAATTTTTGCAATCTAAAGATCTTAAATCTTGCACAAAACCAATTTGATGGGGGGATTCAAGAGCTTTTGGGTGGTTTATCAAGTTGTCCCAATAGTGTTTTAGAGTCACTCGATTTGTCTTCTAATATGTTGAATAGCCAATTGCCTGCCTCTTTAGGGATGCTACACAATTTGAAGTTTCTTACCCTTTACAATAATAGTATGAATGGGCCAATTCCTGAAAGTTTAGGGCAACTCTCTCAGCTAGTTCACCTCGATCTATCGTTCAATCCGTGGGAAGGCTTTTTAACTGAATCCCATTTCATAAATCTCACAAGATTGAAATACTTTGCAGTAGGCAGTGTACTTCCACAGCCAAATCCATCTATTCCCCTCACTTTTAAAGTGTTTTATGATTGGGTTCCTCCTTTCATGCTTCACAAAATTATCATTGGCTGCTGTAAAGTAGGTCCTACCTTTGGGTTATGGCTGCAGTCTCAAACTGAACTCCTTTTTGTCAAACTTCATGCTACTGGAATCCTGGATTCCATACCCGGGGACTGGTTCTTGAAGATATCTTCCCAAGCTCAGTACCTGGATTTATCTTACAACCAAATCCATGGAAAACTTCCGCTCCAATTGAAATTCCCATATGCACTGGTTTTGGATTTGAGTCATAACCAATTTGATGGGCCATTACCACTTTGGTCGGGTGACAATGTGGTTCGATTTAAGCTTGAAATCAATTCATTTTCCGGGCCAATCCCATGGAATTTGGACCAAAAGTTTCCCAAATTGGAATCACTCTATCTTGCAGAAAATCATTTGAACGGTACCATTCCGCCCTCCATTTGCAACATGAGAAACTTGTTAGTCCTTTCTCTAAGAAGCAATCAATTATCTGGAGAATTCCCACGAGAATGCAGTTTGTTGCCTGACATACTGATTCTAGATGCTGCATACAACAATCTCTCAGGCAAGCTTCCTAGTTCAATGGGTGCCTCGGGTTCTCTTTTCTTGTTGAAGATGAACAACAATAATCTCGAAGGTGAAATTCCTCTTTCCTTGGAAAACTGCACTTCTTTGAGGAACATTGATCTTGGGGACAATAAATTTACTGGGAAAATACCTTCATGGATAGGATTGAATGCGCCGCTCGTGTCAATCCTAAGACTGAGGTCGAATTTTCTAAGTGGACATATCCCACAACAGTTGTGTAATCTCGAGAACCTCCACATCTTAGACCTTGTGTTGAAAATCAATGTCAAAGTTAGGTATGGAAAATTAGGCAATGTTAGGCATGGTTGAATAAAAATAAATTAGGTGCAATTAATGTGTTTTGTGTGGTAATAAATAATCTTAGTTTATTCATTTGGTTTGCTATAAATACCCAAGTCCTCAAGCATTGTAAATCATCCAAAGAAAAACAAAGCCTAGAGCTAAATAAGAAAAGCTTTGCTAACTAGTTTGTTTTGTGAGCTTTCTTTAAGAGTGTGTTCTATTTTCTTCTTCTTGGGATCATTAGAGTTATCTTGGATACTCTTCTTATTCAACAATTGGTATCAGAGCCAAGTCGGTCAGGGATCGTTCTTGGTAGAGCATTGGTTGTAAAGTCTCTTGGAATTCCGAGTATGCTCTGTGGTTGCAGTTTTGACTGATCTTCCACATCAGAAAAGGTTTCTTGAGATTATTGTTGGGGTTATCACAAACCTTGAGAGGGAGCTTCTTTGTGTCGAGAGTAGTGTATTACTCTGCACGGTAGTCACTCAAGCTTGCTCGGTGTAGTCAAATTCTTGCCGATACGATGGGTGATCTTCAAGTTGTTGGAGGAATCAAGAAGCTCAACAACCAAAACTATAACACGTGGGCAACGTGTATAGAGTCTTACCTTCAAGGTCAAGACTTGGGGGAGGTTGTCGGTGGTAGTGAAGCTACACAACCGGCAGCGGAAGATGCTAACGGCGTCTTGCGGAAGTGGAAAATTAAAGCAGGCAAATCAATGTTTGCTTTAAAGACCACAATAGAAGAAGAAATGTTGGAGCACATTCGGGATGCTAGAACGCCAAAGGAAGCATGGGACACTTTTGTTACACTTTTTTCGAAGAGGAACGATACAAAATTGCAACTTCTCGAGAATGAGTTGCTATCGATGGTACAACGCGACATGACGATTGCCCAGTACTTTCACAAGGTGAAGTCGATATGCCGCGAAATTTCAGAATTAGATCCAACAGCTCCTATTGGGGAAACCAGGATGAAGAGAATAATTATCCATGGTTTGAGACCCGAATATCGAGGGTTCATTGCCGCTATA